TAATCTTCACAGCTCTGCGAGGCAATAATCATTAAAATATCCCCACTTTCCTGATTCAGAACACCAGGGTTCAGAAAGTGGGACAGACTTTAGGACCTGATATTGTAATTTGGGAAAAATAGCAGGAAACTACTGAGAGTGTCTGTTCCCAACCAACAGTGCTGGGAGCTTTTATGAGGTCAATAAAAGTCAGCATCAATATTTGCTCCTGGTACCACTCTTTATTTTTGTACCTGATATTCCCACTCAGGACGTCATGATGCTGTGATCCAGCTCTGAGAACTGAAAGCTGCTGTGACTCCTCCACACCCTGTACTGGGGGGCTGACTCAGATGAGCTCTGTATCACGTGTTTGATCTTTTTTTACTTCCTGAGTAACTGGAAAATGGATCACTGTGCGTTGCTGAAGGTCTTTAAAACCAAGAGTCTAAAAATACCTTTGAGATCTTCATTTGCTTGCCAATGAAATCCTGAGACAGAGGCTCAGCTGGGCCAGAGGCACAAATGGGATAAGCACTCCGGTCAGTACATTGAGTACAGCAGAAAGGTCTCCCAATTTTAGGTTCAAAAAAGTACAAGGATGCAGCATCACCCACTGTAGCCAAAACATGGAAACAACCCAAGTGTCTATAGACAGAGATATGGATAAGGAAATTGTGGTACCTACAAAGAAAATGGATATTGTTATCATTTGAAAAGGAGACATTGCCCTTTGAGACAACATAAAACTTGGGACATGATGCTAAGTGGAATCAAGATACCAGACACAGAAAGATAAATGCTGATGACCTCACTGTATGTGCTTACTGGTGTGGGTGTGTATTAACTGCTATCAGGAAATGCCGGTGCAGAGCACTTACAGAGTTTATGTAGCTCACAGTTCTGGAGTTCACAGGCAGTGTCAGCACTGGCTCAGTGGGGAGGGGCCTCTGGGCAGTGTCACTTCTCAGTGTGTCACAGGGTAGGAGAACTCCCATATGGACGAGAGACTCCATTACAAAGAGGAAGGCAGAGAGCCTGGGGTCTCACCATTCCTTCTGAGGATGCACCCTCAACCGACCTAAGAAACTTCCTCCAGGTCACACCCACAAAGGGCCCCATGACCTCCCAACAAAGCCACAATGAAGACCAATCCTCCAACACGAGAAACTTTCGAGGATGAGAACAAATCAAAAACAGAACAGTGTGAGAGGAAGGGAATGGAGAAAAGTAAGTTAAAAGAAGCAAACACAGTGGTGTAGGATAAATACGCCTAGAGATCTAAGGGTACAGCCTGAGCATTGTGGTAAACGATACTGTATTGGATACTGAAAATTCACTAAGTGAGATTTCAGGTGCTTCTACTGCACACACCCATGCACACACAGTACCTAGGTGAGATGAGTCATGTCAATTTGCTTGACAGTAGTAATCATGTCATGTACATCACAATATATGCACTTTAAATATACACAATTAAAGCACAAATTAGAGAAGTAGAAATGATGGGATGTTTATAATGTCTGAGCTGAGCAGGAACAAGGGATCAGTACTTACCAGGGACCCCCGTAGCGAGCCTCCAATCTGTGAGGGGTTACTGCACACAGCAGAGATAAAGAGCAAGAGAAAAATGGCGGTACAGCGGGGATCCATGATGACCAGTTGTTCATGAGGGACCAAAGGCCATGAGGCAGCCAGAACCCTGGCATTACTGGGGGCGGGATTCTCAAGTGATTCAGACGGCGGCAGTGGTCCTATGCTGAAAAGGCTCTTGCCCTGGAATGTCTTTATGCTTGGTAGTCTTAGTCTTCATAGGTGGGAGAGGACGGCCCACCCTTAATGGGATCATGGGAAATGTCGAAAGGGTGATACCAAAACTCCCAAGCCTCCGTTCATCCCTTAGGGAAGTATGCAAAACTGCCTACTGTGAATTTGTGGTCCCCAACAAGCCCTGGTTCTTGTTTCCCTCTCAGCTGGGGACTGTTAGCTGAAAGGCTGGGAAAGCTGAGGAGGAAGAGCTGTTTGGAAGAGCCTGCTCCTGGTCACCGCTGCCAGTTAGCAATGTTTGATGGGCCACGGCCCCGATCTAATCTGCCAGCTCACCTGTATGCCCCAGGCTGCTCTCACTGGCTTCCTCTAGTGCCAGTATAAAGCACAGAAGAGACCCATATGACATCCCTGTCACGTGAGCCATCCAAGGAAGCAATTAATTAACGAGCGTTTCTCTAGCCAGGCTTGGGCACTGTAAGTGTAAGGTCCGTGGCTCGCTGTTTTATTAAAGTGCCACAGTTGCTCTCCAGCTGAGCAGACACGCTGCTTTTTCTTCTCCAAGACACCAGGAGTTGGCATAGAGTAGCAGCGGAAGACATTCAGGAAGGCTTTTCCAGCATCTGAATTGGTTACTTATGCCTTCCAATTCAGAGAGAGAAAACAAAAGCAGGTGTTACATTAGAATTAGGCCTTTTGTCATTTAGAGCTGTCTGTCCGTCCATCCCTCTACCCATCCATCCACCCACCCACCCACCCATCCATCAGCAGCACTCTTCTTCGCTTCTGGGCACTGAGAATAGAGCAGTAACTCACTCCCCACATTTGCCATGCAGGAGTTCACCGTACACTTGGATTAAGTGAGGCTCTTAAAAAACAACTTGTTGGACTCCTGTTTGGTTTGCTTGTTATTAAGTGAAAAACACACGAGGAAAATGATACTAATTTTATTGCATCATTTTACTGACTAGAACGCCAGATTTAGAGTGAATATAAGTACAAAAATAACCAAATTCTTACAAATAATACTTTGCTGCTACAGTATTGAATAATTAGTGGAGGCTGGAATTATAATACAACCTTAAATAACATTCTCATAGTGGATTTAACACAATCAACCGGGGCTATGGTTTACAAACAGAAATTCAGGACAATGTGAAAATTCAGAAAGTTCACATTCCAACTACATGTTACATTTAACCACACATCCAACGATGCAGACATTAACAAGACTCACAGCAAAACTCATGATGATACTATCACTTTCTTTGGAACAGGCTTAGGTACTACAGAAAGGTAAGTGTGTTGGATCAGATTCCCAGACACACGGATTCCATCACAACTCTGCCTTGTCCCATCCCTCCCACCGAAGGAGTCTGCACTAACGTACATTAAACACACCATAAAAAAATTATAACCCTAGAATCTAACAAGGGACTCCTTTGAAATATCTTCTTTGAAAATGCTCATGGGTAGATCCAGCCTAGGATCTGTCTCTTTTTAGACCTACAGGGTCCCCTTTGGTTTCATGGGCTTTTCTGTGAGCTAAAGTTTACATCAGATAAGAGGAGTAAAATGCTACTGAGATACTTTAGATTAACAAATTAATTGGATTTAATACTTTAATGTGCCTGCTATTTTAACCAGTTTTCTTCTTTGGGGATTTGGAAAAGAAAAAAAAAAATACCCAAAAGCAAACTGTACAAAACCATATTTCTGTTTCTAAAATGTACGTAAGAATGCTTAGAACACTGTTGTCCACTCCTACTGCCACAAAAGCTTCCAGATAGGAAAAGTATCACTTATATTAAGTGCAGTTTTAAATAAAATATAAAATACTGAACTCTGTACTCTTCCTCTTTCCAAAGAAGTGCTCTAATTTAAAAATCCAAATATATTTTAGAACTGTGAATCAAAACCCTAGTTTCGAGTATACTAGGAAAAGCCAAGGGTGACTCCACACTGCAGCACTGTTTTCCCAGGCAAAGTTCGCAGTTCCAGGCTACCTGGGCCCTCCACCAGTGGGCAAGGCGACTCAGAGGCGCCAAAAGCCGTATCACGAGAGATGACAATAACGTGCTTGCTCTGGAACTCTCACATCTGAATAGATGCCGTCCTTCAAGGACACATCCTTGGGTAGTATCCAGCACCCATCTCAAAGATGCACCCTCTCCCATGGGCCCACTTGAGTTACCTCTTCCATAATTCAAGCCACCTTTAATTTTTAACCTCAGATACTAACAGCCAGCTTGATGGCACCATCCATTCAACAAGCTTCTTTTGAAAATAACTTTCCCCGCAAAGAGGGGAGATCAGCCATGAAGACATTTCACTGATGCTGCTCCCAGATCTGATAATGGTCCACAAAGATACGTTCCCATGTGCGGGACCCACAGCCTCACCATGTGAATGAGGCAGGCAGCCCTCAAATAGGTGTGTGATTCTCGCCGTGCTTGTTGGAACCCACCCAGGTGAGCACCCTGCACTTCCTCCAGCCCAAGCCACATACAACACGCTTCTTGCCAAGCATGAGCCAGCCACCATTTCCTCAGGGTGGCCACAAGCTTCCGGGAAACATGAGTAAAAACCAAGTTTCGGGCATTTTCAAAAGGGTATGTTTTGTATGTTGTGTCCTTCATGTCATTAGTTTGGTTACTGCTTAATATATTAAAATTCTTTAAAAATGATTTAAGTTGTAAGTCTATTCTCTCTTGCCCTCTGTGAGATTTAAAGGGTACTGTGCGGCGAGGTACCTGCCAGGAAGTGAGGCAGGGAGAGCGAGTAGGAGTGACAGGGTGAGACCTGCACACCGTAATTTGAATCCTGCCTTTACTAGGCCAATTATGCATCCACTTCGGAGGTCTTTATGTCTGAGAAACGAGCACGCACAGCTAACTAGCATGGGTGTTATGAGGCCAGGCCTTTGCATGGAGCCTGGCCATAGTAGGAACATCTTTCCAAAGAAACAGATCCTAGCACCCTGGGCTGGCTCATGGAGTAAACAGGAAAAGATAATGGAAATAAGGTCACCTGGAGCTTAAAGCCCAGGACCGAAACCAGGAAGCCAGGAGCCAACTCCTCCCTGCCCAGGTCTCACGCAGCAGCGTTCTCCAGACACACAAGTTCCACCTGGGCCGGCTCTTCCCTACAGAAGCAGCTTGCGGGGTGCTGTCACCTCTGCCCACCTGTGGGGTTTCAGTGCAGGATGCTGGCATTTCTGTGCACACGAATCGCACATTCCAGGCGTGGAGAGGGCCACAGCACGTGGGCCACAGCTGTGTTCCAATGTGGCAGGTGGATGTCCTGTTTGCCTGTCTGCGGGCTGCTGACGCCTGGCAGCTGTTTCCTCTGACCCGGGCAGGCTCTTCTGGGGATAAAACCCCACATCGGAGTGAGCTCAGCCCCTCCCTTCCTCACCTGGGACAGGTCGTGAGCAACAGGTAAGTCACGCCCCTCTCGTGCCTTCTTCAAACCTCAGGATGCTTCCCCACCCGACCCCCTCCTAGAAAGTGTAGCTCCAGTGAACTCCACCTTGCTTGGCATCCTTTTTTCACAGTGAAAAAGAAACACTATTCTTAATCTACTCCATTTGGACAAAACCCATGAACACACATTTCTGGAACTCACAGGACATTCTTTTTTGGACATTAGGATTTTTCCAAGCAAGCTTTTGAGACAGGACGTTCATATTGTGGGGTTTAAGGCTTCCGGCCCTGACACAGGAGATGATTTGCCAGCTTCGGTGTCCACCAAAGGCAGAAGTGTGGCCCGGGAGCTGCTATGGTGGCTCTTCCCATGGCTGGGGGATGCAGGCTGTCTCACAAGCGACGCAAGTCTGCTGGCTCGGGTGAGCTGAGTGTGGAGCTCAGAGCTCTCCAGGTAGATGCAAGGCAGCGAGGTGCAAAGGGCCATTTGGTTCCACGGAGAGAGAGGCCAGACCCAAGGCTTCCAAATGGCAATGCTTTGAGATTTTAACATCCACTGACAGTAATAGGAAGCCTTGTGTGCTTAGGAGATGAGTGCAGTCTAACTACTGAATGCACTGCACCTGACTAGAGCCTCTGCCATAGCAGGTGACAGCGAGACGTGGAGGCTGTGGGACCCAGGAGTCCATATAACACTGTTAGGGTGAGGACTGCATGTTTTGAAGAGATCATAGAGCGCTGTGAAGAAAACACCATGCCTGGGGCAGAACTGTCCCCAGCAGCTAAGCATTTCCAGAAATGTGTATCACTGAGCTCCCAGCTCCAGGGTGGGGGCAATTCTTTTACTTCTGTGTTCTCTTCACTTCATCCCACACCAGGATGTTCCACAAGGAGATAAATGAACATATTTCCACAGGGAGTAAGTAAGAGACGTGGAGCGCTGGACAAGCCTCCCTCGCAGGACCCACAGCACGGGCACATTAAGTACAGTGTCAGCATTTCCTTCCCACGCACAAGTGCTCGGACCCCTGGCTAGCCAGCCGTTACTCCTCCACCGCAGACCTGAAGTCTAGCTGTGTTCCTGGGGGGCAGTGGACAGTCTCAAATAGCTATCAAGGACCGGGTAAGAGAAAGTGAGCTATTTCTTCATTGAATAAATAACTTTGGTTGAAAGTTTACATTGAGTTTGCGGATAAGATTCTGGACGCAAAGATTAGCCAGTAAGCACACTTCCCTATGGCTTCATCTTAGCTCCTATTCTCCCTCAGGAATTCCCTGTGGTTTCCCACAACGCTGGTGATGCAAACAATCTAACGTGCTGATCTGACCCACTGCTCCAACCTCATCCACCTGCGTGACCACAGCAGGCTTTTCCTCTAGCGCTGAAACACCCACTCGGGCCCAGGCTGATGCAGCTTTCCTCTTTCCATCACAACCTCCAGCTTCCATGACACTGGTCAAAGTCTAGGCTCCCGGCGCTGCCCTCGCAGACAACAAGTGTCCCACCACTGTCGGTCCAGCTCCTAATTCTGCCTGTCCGGCCTCACTCTGGGGCAGCTGGGTGCCTCGAATACCAAATGTAAGTAAGTTGTTTTGCCCTGATCCATTTGCTCAAAAAAGTGAGATTTAACTGTACAAGGAAAAAACCATTATAAATAAATGTGTCACCTTGACTTAAAAAACAAAGGGGAGTTGGGTGTTGTGCCTCAAAATGTCAATTCCTCATTTTGGGGGTTGGCTTGGAGACTGCAGCATAAGGCAACCTAGAAGCATTAAAATATTGTATGCGCGACTGCAGCATCTTCGGAACGTAGTGGTACGTCCATCCCCAACTGTTGTTCAGCACTAGGTGCTGGGCAGAAAACCAAAAGCCAGCATCCGGCCGCACGTTAATCACCCACTGCAGCCTGGGGAAGTGTCTCGGTGTCTCTCGGGGACAGTTCTGAGACAGATCCAAAAGGAAACCTGCATGCCCAGTTGACTAAAGTGCAAACTAAGGGAACCGTGGGTCCTTGCAATGACACCTAGTGGTCCGCTGTGGCCGACAGCCGTCCCTGGTGCCAGTGCCGCGTCGCAGTCACTCAGAGAGACTCACTCGGTACTGGCCCATGTCCACGTTCACAGTAACAACAAAGGTGCCAAAAGAGCAGCCTCCATGTCCACATCCTCTGGTCCCTTCTGCTGCGGTCATGGACCTCACGCTTGTCTTTCTCTTGCCATTTGAGTGGGCTCTCACTGGGCCCGGGAGCAGCCAGTGCCCGGTGCTTGTGCTGGCATAGTCCTCTGAGCTGCAGAGGTGCCGACGACCTGGCTCAGAGCGGCAGCCTCTCTCGCCCACTCAGAAGTAGTCTCTTCTCCTGCTCTCATCGCTGATGAAAGATGGGTTATACTGTCCGGGGAAAATGCAAGAATGCCGGGAGCCAGGCAATCCAGTGTAGGCTGGGTACAGTCCATTTCGTTCAAGTTCAGGATTCCTTACATTTGTGGGCTGGTTGCCAAAGAGAAAAGAAGAACAGAAAGTTAAGTGTAAACAGAAATTTCACATGTTAATAGACTAGGATGGAAGCAGTTTTATGAGGTCAGAACAAGTTCTGACCTAGAAGTTAGGACCCTCTCTGGTCTATCTCTTTATAGAACCTGGAATATATCTGCCCCTGTTTTATTTTATTTTTATTTATTTTTTGGTACAGAGAATTGAACTCAGGACCTTGAGCTTGCCAGGCAGGCGCTGTGCCACTGAGCTGTATCCCTGGCCCTGGCCCCTGCCTGTTTTAAAAGGGAATTAGAAAATATGAATCGAAAGCATCCTGATAATTTTAGACCAACACAGGAGAAAAGACCTGGGTTTATCCTTATGTGTGGTGGCTCAACTGACTATTGTCTTAAATTTTTAAAAAAGTACCATTCTCTGTGGAGCATAGCTGGCTTTAAAACCTTCTTGACACTCAGCAGAAGGTGAGCAGCAGACGCTACCAACCTGAGTTTCACAAGGTCCAGTGGCCACTTTGTTCCAGGTGGAGCAAGGACCACAGCCAGGAGGTAACGGTGATTGTTGGGCCAGTTTCACAGGTCACGGCCTACCTGCCTGGTCTGCAAAAGGAGCTCCCTGGGAACAAAGGTTCTTTGGAGGATCTTTCTTAGTAACACCAGGGTGAGAGGCTTTCCTGGCAGAAATAAGACACTGGATAAAGGTGAATCCTGTGGTGAGAGCCTAGTGTGGGAGTCACAGGACAAGCGCTGAGCCCGCCTGAACAACAGCCCGGCACTGGGGTGAGCTTCCTGCTGCGAGCTCAGGCTCTGCTTGCTCAGACTATTCAGCCCGCCGTACGTGAAGACAGATGGGGCTGACTGAGGTCCTGCACTTGGTTCTGTTTAAGGCAACTCTAGCGAATGCCACGGAAACATGCAGTGAAACAGGGTCCTACCACACCCCGGGTCTGGAGCAAGGGTCGTCCCCCCACCCCGCGACAGGCTGCAGTGTGGCACAAGCCTAGGGAAGCACCAGCATAGTTACAGCTTCAGTTAGGAGAAGAAAAGGGCTTTTCCTGACAGAAAAAAAGCAAAGCCTTATGCAGAAGTAGCAACAGAAACATTTTAACTAGAGCTAACTTTGAACCTACATTTATTTTTCTTATTTCTTCTTGTTTTTCTTCCAGGTTCAATTACCTCAAAGAACCCACTGAAATAAATAGCTCTTTATTTGTTAGTGTGAACAAATCTGCCCCTTCCACCCAAAGTTTGATCCTCATGGTTAATTCCTGTAGCAACCAGAGATCACGGTCTCCGTCACAGGGCTACCTAGAGCCCTAAGTCCCTGGGGCAGAGTTTCACGGTCACTGCTATCAAAGAGCAGTCACCCGACATCAGTTTATTTTTTGGTTCAGACATCCCTGCCTGTGTTTGTTTTATGATTTGGGACACTGTAGAAGAATAAAGCCTGGCTTAAATTCAATGTGGACAGAGGTACAGAGGCTGATGGTATTCTCTTGCCTTCCCGAATGATACAGTCCAGTGCTGAACAGGGCAAGTTAGTGAAGACCTGCTGAATGAGTCACTCTCTTTATACCTGTTCCCAACTCCTGGTTTTTTTTTTTTTTTTTTTGGTTTTTCTCCGGTACCAGGAACCGAACTCACGACCTTGCGCTTGCCAGGCAGGCGCTTTTGCCGCTGAGCTAAATCCCCAGCCCCCCAACTCCTGGTTTTAACACCCAACCACATAAGCCAAAGTAAAGGAGGGCAGACGAGAGATAAAACTGAAGGGATCAAGGGGTAAATATCACTAAACTTTGTCTCTACCTCTCCGATTCCACTGTAGCAACTTAAAAGCAAATTGATGTGTACTACTGCTACCACCCTAGAAGAGTAAGGTGCTAACATGGAAATACCTTTCTGATCTTAGCACCAAGACTGATAAATATTATGCAAATACGTCATAAGGAAATGGAATGTTAAGATATGTAAATAAGAGGCTGTGCCACAGTCCTCCTGGACCCCTAACTACCTGCAGTGTTTACTTCTCAAAGACTGCCCTGCCCCGGGATACGCACCGAATAATACACATCTGTCATCTGTAGGAGGTTTTTGGTGCTTCCATTCTCATGCATTTCAATAGCTTCTCGGCCCCACTCTTGGGAGCGAGGGTTCTTGGGGTATTCAGCATACGGGGACATTTGGAAATCTCCACTTTTAAAGATGAGCTTGCTTATGTCATTTTTATTCTTCCTGTGGAGCAAAAGGTAGTAAAAGATCCATGAATAATTTTTGTAAATAAATGATATCTGTGAAAATACCAATTGGTATTTTAGGACTGAGAGTTATCATTACAGTATTCTGTTAGCTGCCCACTGAAGAATGCTATTATGGTTATCTTTAACATTTGCCAAAAAAAGTAAAAATGAAATTAGGTACAAAACGTCTCTCTGCAGGGCGTGGTGGCACACACCTGTAATCCCAGCAGTCAGGAGGCTGAAGCAGGAGGATCGCTGCGAGTTCGAGGCCACGCTGGGCTACAAAGTGAGCTCAAGGCCAGCCTGAACTATATAGCGAGACCCTGTCTCAAAAGGACAAAAAAAACAAGAAATCTCCCAACACCAAAGGGTCAGGTTATCAGGGGCAGGGAGGTCAGAGACAGCTGCAGCAGAGCTGTTAGACTCCTCTTGGGTACAGAGGCCACGTATCTTTCAGGTAGCCACACAAACAAGAATCGAATCACAAGTGTGCATAGTGCAGGAGCCAGCAAGCTCAGTGGCTCCCAACCAGACTGAGCATGAGGTTTCACATGAGAAAAGTCTAGGTTCCCCCCAGTTTTTGTGAATCAGGAACTCTGGGGTCAGACCAATTCTGGTTCATTGAAGAGAATTAAGTTGTCCCCTGGGACACCTTTTCTACCAACAAAGCTTGGAGTAGAGGTCAGGCCTGTTACCTCCAAGCCAGTGTTCTTCCTGCTGCGTGAAGCTACTTCACAAATCATAAAACAGGGTGGTTTGCGGACAAAAGAGTTCCCATTTATCAACTATCCACATTCTCATTTTATACTGTGAGGTTTTACCACCTGGAAATCATTGAACTATGTGTTCTTCATCTGTCTGCTGAGCCCAGTATCAGAAATTGTAAGTTATATTTGCTTTGGGTAAGATCATCTTAAGTTTCTTTCATCTTCCTTCTTACCTATAAGTAAATTTTCTAGGGAAGGCACAGAATGACACAGGGTCATAAAACCAAATTTCAACACGTGGCTTAGGTGTTGGCCCTCTGGGAAAGCTCAGAACAGAAGGAACCCGCCACACTTCTGTGGTGGGTGGGGTCTCTGGTCTCAGAAGCAACGACTTCCTTGTTCATAACGCCCTTCCCTTCTCAGTAACCGAGGGTCACAAACGGGCTCCTTCCCAAAGGGCTATTCCACATGATCTGGAACACACTGCAAGTGCAAGGCTTAGACCCCTCGAGCTCTCAGTCTTGCCCCTCTATGGTAACTGTTTCTAGTCTCATATCCAGAAGTTTAGGTCAACTTGTATGGTTCATTTTTGACAGCAATTTGGTCAACGACATGCAAAGGCTATACTGTATCATAAGGGCTACATTCCTGAATGGCAGTTACGACAAATTGTTCTGTGGCCTTAGTGGAGATGGAAGATATCTTAGAATGTCTTCACATCAATGACAGAAAAGATAGCGTGCTATTTTGGTAGGTTGCCTCCGTTATGTTCACATAGTTCTGGCCAATTATTATCTGAATCAAAGGTCATAATTTTCCTTCACTGAAGAATTAACCACAGAGAAGGAGGATCAATTCCCCTGTCCTAGTAGGAATCAATCCCATTGGCTTTCAGGAAGCCTTCAGCCAAGTTTACTGGTATTCCCACACGGCTGCTCTAAGTTCTCCACTGCTACATTTCAGGAAAACTCTTTCATCTTTCCTTTTCTCTATCTTTCTATACAATTTACAAGCCATTCAATTTACCCATTTCATTTCTTTTAGCATATTCACAGTTGTGCATCCACGAAGCACAATCAGTTTTAGAACAGTTTCACTGTGCCAAGAAGAAGCCTCATACCCCTCACAGTCTCTTCCCAGTGCCTCCTGCCTTCCCCTCCCCCATTGCACCCGAGCCCCGGGCAGCTACTAATCTACTTTCTGTCACTTTTAGACTTGCTTACTTTAGGTGACTCAGGTAAATGGAATCACACTAAGTGGTCTTTTATGACTGGCTTATTCCACTCAGCATAATATTTTCCAGGATCATCCCTGTATCAGGACTTCACTCCTCTTTATCCCCGAATATATTCTATTGTGTGGCTATATCACATTTTCTATTTGTCCATTCAACAAGTTGATAGACATGGGGATTCTGTTAAGCTTTGGCTATTAAGAATAATGGTGCTATGAACATCCATGTACAAGCTTTTGTGTAGATACAGTATAGTACGTTTTCATTTATCTTGGGTACATACTTAGGATTGGAAGGGCTATACTTAACTATCTGACTTTTTCAAAGTGGTATCACCATTTTATATTCCCACTAGCTGTGTGGAAGTGTTCTAATTTTTCAATCTCCTCACCTTAAGTACTCTTTTTTTGTTTGTTTGTTTTCTATGTTTTTTGAGACAGGATCTCACTATGTAGCTCAGGCTGGCTTTGAACTTGAGGCAATCCTCCTGCCTCAGCTTCCTGAGTGCTGGGACTACAGGCTATGTCACCACACCTGGCTCAAGTACTCCTCAGATGAGTAGAAACTGACCCTTATATAGCACAGGGAAAGATACAGAATTAGTTTCTGAACTCTCATCACTTACCTGCAACAGGTGACAATCAGCGCAATGCCCAGGATAAGGAGAAGCCCACCTCCTGCTGCCGCAATGACCACAGTGATAAGCTGATAGGCTAAAGAGGTTACACAAACAAACAAGAGCGCGGGTTGGTAGGAGCTAATGAATGCACAGTGGAGGACACTGTCCCCTCTGGACTTGCCACAACCACCCTTTGGTCTTTGACAAGGGATTCTCAACAGCTATCTCTACATTTTCTCTATATTGAGAAGCGTTCCCCCTAAAACAGTGACTCCTAAGACAGCGGCTCCTAAGTTCTACCTGCATTCCAGCCCCTGCAGACATTTTCACCAATCCATGGTAAGAAGAGAATAAAGGTGATTAATGAATTTTTCAGAACTCAATTTGTTTCATTTTAATAGCAGTTCTATAATCTAAACTTTTATCCTTATATCTTTCTTTTTTTTAATTCTCTTTTTTAAGAATTTTTTTAATCATGTGCAAATTATGCCTCAAGATAGTAGATCTTTAAAAAAAAGCAACAGAAAAGACAACATCTTTCTGTGGCCACTTCCCACACTTTGGTATTAACTGTTGCTTAAGTTTTTGACTCAATGGTGAGAGCAGATATAAAAATGCTGGAGATTTAGCTCAGTGGCACAGCACCTGCCTGGCAAGTGCAAGGTCATGAGTTCGATTCCCGGTACCGGAAAAAAAAATGCATGACATTGTTTCAGGACCTTACTCATAAATTAAGAAGGTGGCAACTCTAAAGTAGATTCCTTAATTTTATAAGAAACATCATTAGTCAGTTAAGTTCAGGATCTAGGAATCACTGCTTAGCCATGCTAGAGACCGAGTGGGTTCCTCAATAACAACACATTGAATTTAACTACAAAACAGAAGCAATGGCATAAGCAAGCACCTATCATGTTTTGTCAACAAAACTAGAAGATTTTAAGTAATTGGATTTTACACTGTTCTGACAAAATTATTTTCAATAAATTCTATTAAATATTCAGACTGATGCTTTGTTGGTGTGGAAACGCAACTAAAATTATGTTCCTAGCTTGGAAGATCTAGGGCGAAGGGTGCACTGACACACTGGGGAGAAGCCAGATTTTCTACAGTAAACGAGCCTGGCCCTGTTCTTGGCACCTGGGTGTAGTCCAAAGGTAAGGACAGAGCTCACGTCTTTACCCTCAGTGGCTAAGTCGCCTTCTCCTGAAGCTTCCAATCACCAAGTGCTGGTTGGAAGTGAGACAGGCAGGGAGCAGACTGTGAGCAGAATACGGGCGAATGCAAGCTATGCAACCTTTTACCAAGCTTTGTTTAAATAAATAGCACAGAAGCTGTACGATTGTGGAAAACCACTAGTACTGCCATATAGTGGGAATAAAACCAAACCATGGAATAAATTCATTGTCTCCCTCTCCTCCTGGCATATGTATTCAGAAGTGTCAATAAAAGTGAAGAAAAAAGACAAACTACTTAAATACATCTACCCCCGCTCCATGCTACTGTCATTTCTTGTCTGGACAATGGCAGTTGCCTCCCAACTCAACTTCCTGCACCCAGTCTTAGCCACTCATCACCAAAGACAAGTCTGATCATGCCATTTCCCTGTTTAGAAAAATCCTCAGCGGCACCTTCTGTTCCTAGAGAAAGGTCAAAATCAAGCTCCCATTTTCTCTCCTCACTTCTAGCAAAACAAGCAAACATCTATTTTAAAAGTGACCCTGGCAAGTGGCTGCAGCTTTTACCAGGTTTTTCTTTGCAACAAGCACTTTTGTCTAAAAAAGATACACAGCAGAGACTATGGCTTTCCAAACTGTCCATAGTCAAGGGTCAGTTTTTGTTCGTGCTTTTGGTTATCTTTTCACATAAAGAAAATAAAGTCCCACTTGTTCCTCTTATCTATCCCCACAGGTACCAACTCTCATGAATTTCCTTTTCTACTTTTGTAAGATCCAGTAACAGCTCACATCAAAAATTACACTTGTAGTGGCACTAATATAGTCTGCTTTTCAAACTTTCCATGTGAATCACCCAAATGCCTTGCTAACACCAATTCCTGAGTCCGCACCCTAGGAGGTTTGATTTAGTAGGTCTGGGTAAGGACTCAGAAGCTGGTTTCCAGTGAGTATCCAGAGGATGGTGATGTTGGGGACCGACCACTCAGACTCACTCAAGGGCGCAGTCACACTGGGGAGAAGACTCCTGGGATGAAAGCCAGGAGCCCTCTCAGCACAGAAGACCTGGGAGAGTATTCATCGAAATGTTCATGGGCATTATTAGCTCTTTGGGTCAGTAGGGCTAACTGTTACTGTATTCATTATGTTTTTCTGTATTTCCCAAATTTTATTTAGATTTACATGTACAAGTGTGCATGTACATGTGCTCACCTCTAAATTTAAGCACTGTGTATGGATATACACATACATATTTTAAAAGAGTAACTTGATGTTTTGCGGCAGCCACATCATTGGAAATCTTCAGTATGTGTACGGACAATATCATCCGTGGATCTTTTCAGCTTAAGTATTGACTTTAGGTATGTTATGATAAAAAAGTAGATGGGGATCAATGCCAAGTGCAATGTTCATTACATTAGCTTCATGGCTGCTCTGAATGTGTAAGCTGGGGCAGATGCAATAGTCACTTTAAGCTTGTCTGTCCTGTCCTTTCTGGTCTGAAAAGATGGTCTAGAATGAAGACCTTGGAATTCTCAGTCCTACCTCCTCTTTGACATTTGTTGATAGTTCACTGTTTCTCAAACAATGACCCCTTCCCTTCATCTTCACAGCTTGACGTTGTTAATCACGGTTAGTATTTTCCATCAAACCAACCTACTCTGGGTCTTAGCCTTTCCTGTAAAGTGTGTGTCTTTGTTTCTGTTGGGATGGCATCTACCGAACTGACTACTTAGCTAACCTGCTTCAGGAACCATCTGCATCCTCTGGAGGGGTGGTCATGCTTGTACATGTAACAATGTCCCCTGGCCACAGCTGATCAGTCTGGAAACAAACACATGTCCAAACTGGATCAACCAGTTCCTTCCCGGGAATCTCAAGTTGGGAAAAAGGGAACCTTTTCTTTCAGAACAGCTAAACAAGTGACATTCAAGAGCTATTTGGCACCTCTTACTTTCCATCAAGTTGTCTGGACAGGAGAGATGGCCAAGCACAAAGCAAAGGGCAGAGCAGATATGAAGGTGAAATCACACTAGAATGGCCCTGGAAAGAAGGCCCTGACCTCCAGCTACTGGAGTTCCCACATTTCCCCGATTCCTACCGTTTCTGATGCTGGGATTCCATCATATACTTCAAGATCTTGCCAACAAACTGAACTCTTTGTTACTTAAACTAGGTAGGCTTATTGATACCTGAAGAATCTTAGCCAACCAGTATGCTTTCTTTGAAAGCTGCATCACAGACTTTCTAGGTAGCCATATTTTATTTTTGCTTTCATTCTGTTCTTTCTATTTTTTTCCCTCACTGAGCTCATTAGTGAAGTATGGTGAATGTTGCCTTTTAAATCTCTCTTTCCCTTGTCCATCTGTTTTTTGTTGTTGTTGTTGTTGTTGTTGTTTTGTTATTGTTGTTTGTTTTTGAGACTGGGTCTCATCATGTAGCCCAGGCTGGCCTTGAACTTGGCCTCAGCCTCCAGAGTGCTGGGGTTATAGGCATGCACCACTACACCTGGCATTTTCCATCTCTGTTTACACCATTCTTTTTTTTTTTCTGGACACTTTCTGAAATTTGCCATTTTAAATGTACAGGCGTGTGGATACACCTATGCCCACTGGCCCCACTGTAAAGCTCCACGTGATTCTGTCACTTTCCCCAAAGCTTCAGCCCTTCCTCATCGTCAAACAGTCCTTCCAAGCAGGAAGATCAGGCCCAGAAGCACTTTCCCTTCTCGAGCCATACTTCCCTTCCTTGCTGACGTGAAGGGAGGTCAGCTGAAACAGAGATGACTACTTTCAGCGGGATGAGACTTCCAGTGGGGTTTTGGATAATTAATGGTCTCTCCTTCCTTCTAAGCGGTTTAGTGCTGTTCTCCAGGACGTTTGTTCAACGTAACTCCTTGACAACACACAGCATTTCCATTGGTCTGAATCTTTTTATAGCCTCATGCAGTGACAGGCCAAACATAATTAAAAGGTATTTTATACATCTGCCACCCAACTGTGGGTTGGGGTGGGAAAGTGTGCAATAGCTGTAAGTGGAATGCTCTGGTTTCTCTGGAATGGGACCATAAACAGGGAAAACAGGCTCCATGTCCTCACTGGCCATGTTGGGAGGCTAGGGGGGCACGGTGTCTCCACTGAAGAGATCTAGAGTCTTTGGAGGGCAAGGATAACCTCTGAAAGGACACGGGGTGAATAGGAAAGAAGGGTGGACAAAAATGTCTGTGGCTAGAAGAAAGTAATCTGGGAAAATTATGTGGGTTCTGTAATCATAAAGTGACAATAAACATAAAACAGACACATGGCTTCAAGGATGGGTATATAAGAAGGATTCTTAAAGGGTAATGAGAGGGGAATGGTTAAGTAAATTATAGCACAGAACATTATAGAACTATCAAAAGTGATTTACACAATTATGGAAATGAAAACATTCTGTAGGTTACTAGGTTTAAAAACAGATTACAAAACAGTATATTCAGTGAGATCCAATTTCTTTAAAAAGACACACACACACACACACACACACACACACACATGCTTAGAAAGATGGACAATACCCCACTTTTCAAACTGTAATACATATGCAATTTTGCATTAACCAAATTCCTGGGTCCAGTAAGATTCAAACTGTGATTCAGCAGGTCTGCAGGGAGGTGGCTGAAACTCTACATTTCCAACATGCTCCTGGGTGATACTAATGCTGCTGGTCCCATGGGCCAGCAGGACACAGAACAGGTGATGAGCTCATTTACTCTACTTCTCTTCTTCCTTTACATCTATTTTCGAATTATTAGGGTTATTAAAGGGCATGCATTGTTTTATGCTGTGCAAAAACAACATTTATTTTAAAAAGAGAAAAAGGTGAAGTAAAACAAAGTGCCAGGGGAGATCTTATAAAACTGTGTAAAACTCAGGCAACAGAG